TATGAAATCACTCGTCAAACACAAGTAGCTGTTCCGCACAGCCGTCATCAGCTATGCTCATCTGCCAGCCGCGTCTATGCTATGGACTGAGCGATGGATCGGTTAGCGCTTAGCATGAAGAGTGCGGCAGCCCCGCTGATTAATAAGAACACTTTGAGGAGCGGTAATGCAAAAAGGTGCAAACTTCAAACAAAGGCGCTATCACTTTAATTAAGCCTGATAATCCAGAGCACTAATGGATTCACAGTCTATTAGGCAGCCCTTTGATAGCACTAAGGACTTTTGTCAATGTGAGAAAGAAGAGAAGTGGTAAAGAGAGTTTTCATTTCTTTCACCGCAGGTCATAATGCTGCCCTTTGTTGCTAGTTTTATGTGCTCCTTATGGTAAATGTATGGAGTGATTCTATTGAAATATATTTTTTTAAAACCTATATTTCATATAAAGTCTATTTTCAAAATCGCCTTTAGAAATATCATGTGCTTGTCTTCTAAATTGAATGTCTTGGTCATTTCATCAAAGATGATTCTAAGTAATCATAGAAAATCTCCCAGAATGCGATTCTGAATCAACTGAATCATCGTGTAAAGGCCATTCACACCAAGGCTTTTCCACGACATTCTAATTTATTGAGATGCACCTGTACAATAATAACAATAAAGTTTTAGTGAAGTCCACACCACAACAATAACATCACAGAGCAACGATATCGTTGGAATCCATTTCAAACCGATTTTTTCCAGGTGATGAACGATAAGAACACTGACAGCCAATCAGAATCCCAGAATTTGCATTTAAAGCAGCAGACAACAAAACTGCAGCATGTGCTTGATAAACAGAATGTGATTGTGTTTTGGTGTGGATGCTAAAAAGTTATCATAGTTACCTTTATAGGCCTAGTTATCATTCTCGGTGTCAACATGCCTTAAAGGAATAGTTCATCTCAAAAATGAAAATTGTCATCATTTACTCACACTTATGTAATATTAAAACCTGTATGTTGAACACAAAAGAAGATATTTTCAAGAATTTTGAAGAACCAGACAGTTGTTGGTCCCCACTGGCCTCCACTGTAGGGAAAGAAATACTATGAAAGTCAATGGGAACCATCAACAGTTTGATTACCAGCATTCTTTAAAACATCTTCTTTTATGTTCGACATAAGAAAGAAACTCATACAGGTTTGGAATGACATGAGAGTGAGTAAATGAAGACAGAATGTTCATTTTTGAGATGAACTATTCATTTAATACAATAAAATCTGCGACACATTTTCACTCTGTCCTTTTAAAATGTTTCCCCTCAATCTGACCTTTATAATCTTGCAGTTGCTGTGAATAAGTTTTCCTTACAGCAAACATCTTCATGTTCTGTTTCTAAAGTGAAAATATAAACACATCTTCAGCTATAAATCTACTTATATTTATATAAATCTCAGCACTGACAAACTTATAACCACCACGTTAGCCTGTTGAAAAGCTTTGCACACTGTATTATGACAGAAATTCTATCATACTCTTTAAATTGGTTCATGGTCAAGCAGTCTTGCTCCACCTTTCATGACTTGTTGGGATTTGACTGAGGGTGGTCCTTGATCCTTACAGCTCAAGAGACATTTGTGATCCTCTGCGGTACTTAAACGGTTCTCTGGCTCAGACCTTAACTTGCATCATAACAAAGCAGCAAAGCAAAGAGGCCAAATGAAGTTGTAACTAGTTGAAGTTGATTGCCAAGGCCAGCTTATGTGTAGAACATCTTGTCCTTAAAGGGACAGTTCACCTGAATGAAGCTTCTGTTATCATTATTACTTTATATCTATATAAAACAAAAGGTGAATTAAAAAAAAAAAAATCCTGTTGCCCTATTCAGTATAATAAAAGTTACCAAAAAAGGGCCATAAACTTGTAACAGTGACAAAATTTAAGTCACTATTTACTGAAAATCTTAAATCTTAAACTCTTAAAAATAAGGGTTAAAAAAGGCGTTTTTTACAACGTCACAGAAGAACCATTTTGGGTTTCCCAAAGAACTTTTCAATGAACAATTCTTATTATTTTTTTAATCTACTGAAACTTTTTCCGATATAAAGAACATTTGGTGCAATGGAAAGGTTGGAGGTTCTTAATGGAACCAGTTGATGCCAATAACTGTAAAGAGAGCAGCAGTGATGTCCAATTTGTGAATGAATCGTTCTTTTTGATTAATCATTTGATCCATTTCACAAAACCAATCTAACCTATTTGTTTATCAAGTTCTCATTGAAGCCATCTGAAGCTATGGAATATAGCACAAGTTGCATTGACTACTTTTACTTTTAGAAACTGAACAGTCCTATTGTTAGAATTATATTCATCTGTTGTCACACATATGTTGTCACACATCAGACTTACCCTATATGTAACAATAAAAGAGAAGAGAAGGAAATGAAGTGTGACTCAAAGTGACAGCTCTGGGTTGTCAGATTACATTTATGTCTGAGCTACATGTTCTTTTCCATAATATGAACACCCGCACAACAGCACAGTACTGTGGGTAGACATACGAAACTAAACTTACTCCCTCCATCCTGCGAACACATACAGTACAACTAAACAATGTAAGCACAGAATTGTTTGAGACTGTCTGCACAACAATGCCACCTTCATCTCATACACACTTCTTCAACATCTCACATCGAACTATTTAAAGTGTTAAATGCTCTGAGTGCTTATGCTCAAGAGAGCCTCCCCATTTGAGAACGTGTATACAAGGCGTTGAAGGAGCTCAGGTTGCAGATCTGTTGTTCTCATTCGCATTTTTTCTTCTAAATATATTTAAACAAGTACTTCTATTTTCCAAAACACATACTGACAACGTCAGGCCTTAAAAAAAGGTGTTTCTTGTTAAGTGTCACATGATGCTTGTTGTTGTTATGCTTATCAAAATACTGCTCTGCATTTTAACACCTGTATGTCTTAAAACACTACAGACTGCAACCTCTGCACTTTGTGTCGCAGAATAAACTAGGAAGCCTCAAGGGAGGAAATGAGATTTTGGGAAGAAAACAATGTTTGATAATAGTGGGAATATGTTGTTCTCAACACCTCCTGTCTCGTCACAAACTTTGTAAGATGTGCGCAATGAGTAATATTTATGGAGCTAGTATCATTCTGGTGATGTGTCACAGCACAGGTGCTTACAAAACAGAGTATGCAATTTGCTAAAAGATATTAATAACTGTGCAGATGTCATCGTATGCGCCTTTTAAGTTGTGGTGACAATCTGACTGCTGTGTTATCACTGTGTTATGCACTTTTGGAGAATATGAATCTACACAGAAGTATTATTATAAGTACTTGTGAGTTCACATGCTACTTTACTGCATAAAGGTCGTCAAATGTAGCTTTCACTTTCATGTCATTCCAAGCACAATAAAGTTACACAAAAAAGTTAAAACCATAGTCATTAACTATATTTATCAGAATGAAAAACATTAAAGTTATTTATAATTTCCATACAGTAAGCAACTTTTAAGCTTCAAATAGTCCATATGACTTGTTCACTATATTTCAAGTCTTCTAAACCCACACAGTAGTTGTTGTTTTTTGTGAGGAAAAACTGAAATATAACATTATTCACTGAAAACCTTTGTTCCAAATCAATAACTTTAAGATACACAATAGAACTTTGCAACATCTGGAAACTTGGCACAGAAACTTCATTTGAGTTCTTGTGTATCATGTTTGACCAATATTTTAGAACTATAGGGGAGAAAAGAGCAAAGAGTGTTGCTAAAGAACCATTTCCATTTGGATTTGGAGAAATATGAGGGTAGGTAAACTTTTTTGGGCTACATTTTTACTTTACTCTAAGAGCTCCATTTCGGGTTAAAATTCAGTTTGCTTCAGTAGATCACAACTGATAGATTCTGCCAATAGAAGTTTCTCTAATTAAATATATAAAAATATTAAGAACACACAACTATAAATATTCTTACATATTAAACAAATTATTTTTTGGATTTCTAAGGATATATTCTAAAATATCTAAATATGTTTTCATCTATTGCCAAGTTTCATGCCACTGTCACTTCTCATTTTAATGAATTTATAGTGTAAGTTGGCCAAAACAGTATTAGTCTCATGGCAAAAAAAAAGGTAAAACTCCAGAGCAACAATGCAGATACGATGTTTTTGATTAGTAATTTCTATCCATTTAATCTGATTATTTAACCGTTCTTACGTCGTTCTTGAAAATGCATGGTTTAAATAAGTTCAAGGCCACCTTATAAAACTGTTTCATCAGGTGAGCCAAAGTAAATCTTGCCTTGATGTTGACTCAGTGTTACATAAACTTGTAGGATATCCCAATTCCCAAACATCATCAAACAAAGCATAAGACCTCTGGCCATAATCCACTGAATAGTTTTGAAGGAATGCAATACAGTAGGAGAGACAGGCCTGCAGTACTCTATAGCCTATGCTGTGTGTTAGTACAAGCCCTTCACTGGTTCAGTAAGTGTCCAACGTCACCATGTCGTCATCGCTGTCAATGGAAAATGCAATGCAGAACACTTAATGATGCTACACATCCAGTGTGTTTCTGTTGCTACAGTTTATGGAGTAAACTAACAGTAGTACGACTCATTTTAACCGCCATTTTCTATAATTTTCTTCATCTTATTGTCATCTTTTGACAGTTTAAAGCTCGTTTGTAAGCCTGTATGTTCTGCTTAACAGACTCCTAAATAAATAAATTCAAGGACAGAATTCATTAGGCAGATATTTGAACAGATGCTGCCTTAAAACACAGAGCCAATGTATAAATAAAGCTTTCAAGTTCCTGCTAACTCAAAATTCTGAGATTCTGAGCACCAAATGTGTAAGCAAGTCTAAAAAGTAGCTAAAAGTTATTTCCAAACTCCGGACTCCGGTTAATTCTTTGATTGTTTAGGATGATTACATCTATGGTATTATTACGTGAAAGGCAATGAATGAAACATGATGCATACTGAAAGTGTTACCTTCTGGTCCACGATGGAGCATGCCATCTCTCGGACCTGCGCCAGGCTGAACTCGCCGGAGTCCAGCAGCACGGGTTCCCGGCTCAAGCCGATCTGGATTTGGAAGGAGATGCCTTGCCACCCCGGGAGGGGGCTCGGCGGTCGGATCACCGGAGGCACGCTCATATGAATCCCCTGGTGTCAACACACAATCACGCCTGGACAGCGATCAGATCGGGTTGTTTGATCGAGTTCGCACACTGGTTGCGCAAACTGAGGCAAAACTTCAGATCCCTAAAGTCGTTCAGAGGGTAAACAGACGAAAAAGGCGAATTTCAAGCAAAAACGCTGGCACGGAAATGCAAAGAGTTATTTGGACATTGAGAGGCGATGATGATGATGATGGAGATATATACGTCAGATATGTTTAATGTTGGGCTCTGATCAGACACCGCCTCCTGGCTTGTTCCTTCATCACGGAGGCTCAGATGCTGCTGCGATGGCGAACGGGGATGTGAATGTCGAAGTTTCTGTGCTGTGGATTAATTCTTGACACTCTGAAACACAGATACAAACATTTTTCGCTTACAGGTTATATGAAATAGAGTCGGTACCCTGACAAAAAATTGCCATGGTAACCATAGTTTCCGCCAAAATACTTCCGCAAAACCATATGGGGCATCCCTCGAACAGTATGAAGCTTTTAGAATATTTCGTTTTTGTTTTACATTACAGATGTGGCTAATACCACGTTACGATTGTAGTTTAAAACTACTAGATTTGTACGATTTTTTAAAGAGTGTTGCTGTTTGGTTGCTAGGGTGGTTTTTACCTGCCCACGTTCACCTTAAGTCCCTCTGTCAATGTAAGTTTATGGAACATTTTAGTCCAGACCAAAAAATAATAATAAAATTATTCTTCACAAATTCTAAATTATGCTGATTTGCTGCTCAATTATTATTGGTGCTCAGTTATTAGGCTAATAATGGTTCTTCTTATTATCGATTTTTCTCTTTAATATTTTGTTGAACATTTATTTAAAATATATATGTATGTTTGTATGTATGTATGTGTATATTTACATTACATTATAAATTTTTTACTGTTGACTAATTTAATGCATATTTGCTGAATAAAAGCATTCGTTTCTATTAAAACACACACACCCATACCCCAAACATTTATATGGTATCAAGGCTTTTTCAGAAATATTAAACAGCACAACTGTTTTCATCTTTGACAATAATAATAAATGTTTCTTGAGCACCAAATCAGCATTAAAATGATTTCTGAAGGATCATGTGACACTGAAGACTGGAGTAATGGCTGCTGGAAATGTAGTTTGCCTTTAGAGGAATAAACTGCATTTTGAAATATATTACAATAGAAAACAGTTATTTTAAATTGTAATAGTATTTCACAATATTCGTGTTTTTACTTTATTTTTGAGCAAATAAATACATAAATGCAGCCTTGAGCATAAGGGACTTCATTCCAAATCATTCCAAACTTTTGACAAATACTATATATATATATGTGTTGTTACCCTGGACCACAAACCCAGTCATAAGGGTCAATTGTTTTGAAATTGAGATTTATACATCAGAAAGCTGAATAAATAAGCTTTCCATTTACGTATGGTTTGTTAGGATAGGACATTATGTGGCTGAGATAAAACCATTTGAAAATCTGGAATCTGAAAAAATATTGAGAAAATCACCTTTAAAGTTGTACAAATTAAGTTCTTAGCAATGCATATTACTACTCAAAATTAAGTTTTGATATATTTACAGTAGGAAATTTACAAAATATCTTCATAGAACATGATCTTTACTTGTTATCCTAATGATTTTTGGCATAAAAGAAAAATCGATAATTTTGACCCATACATGTTGGCTATTGATACAAATATACCCGTGCTACTATTGCTACAAATGTACACGTGCTACTATTGCTACAAATGTACACGTGCTACTTATGACTGGTTTTGTGGTCCAGGGTCATACATATACAGTATATGTGTGTGTGTGTGTGTGTATATATATATATATATACTGTATATACACACACACTCACACACACTATATATTACAGTAACGAAATAAAACTACTCCGTTACTGTCCACCACTGTATATAGGTATATATAGTGTTTACCCTAGTGCAGCCCAGTGTTCACACTGAAAAGGGCACACCAGTTGTAGCTTTTTCCCAGACAGAGTTGAGTGGTTGATTAAATGCCTTTTATTTAGATTTAAACTTACACATTAGGATGCAAATAACTCTGACCAGGCTTGAGTGGGCCAACTGTGTTCATGCACCTCCGTGTGTGCCGGCATTTTGTAAACAGAAGGGCTCAAGGACTTGTAGTTGCTAGGAGAGAGGCCAGCTGATGCTCGCCTCCCAGGCATAGAGCAACTGTGTGTTCATCACTGCTGTAGTACCATACAGAAGGCCACCAATATCACTTGATTCAATTAGAGAGATCACTAATAGGACTGCTTGTTTTAGGTCAAATTAGACCCACACCGGCTTACCGCATTGTCAGAGAGCAGACAAATTTCCCCAAACAAATGATGTGTTGATTGTGGCAACATTTATTATAGTCGGTTTCACGACAGGAAGTGTTATTTGTAGCTATATTGTTGGCTGTCTGTCAAAAGTAGTTTTTTATGAAAACAAAATTAATGACTACAAAAGTCATTAAGATTTTTTTTGTCTTAAGATATAATGTTTTGAATGGGTAATACAGTACACTGTGAACACATTTCTCAAGTCAACTGTACTGTCTCACAGGTTGGCGATTTCATCACAATCCATTTGCGATAATTAATAATCCATGTCCTTTTTAAAATATCTACCTGAACACTAACTTTAGAGTAATTTATTATATGTAATTAAAGGGATAGTTGAACTAAAATAGAAAATTATGTCATCATTTACTCACCCTCATGTCATTCCAAACCTATAAGACTGTTTTGTCCATACAGTGAAAGTCAGTCAGGCCCAAAACAACACTGAACCCCATTAACTTTCATTATATGGACAAAAAACACAGAGACATTTTCAAATGATCTCCTTTTGTGTTCCAGAGAACAAAGAAAATCATTAAAGGTTTGGAATGACATGAGGGTAAATGATGACAGAATTGTAATTGTGTTAGTGTAAATCAGTTTGCAATAACTTGTTGTTCTTCATTACTGCATGTTTTTCTTTCACTTTGCAGATTTTTGGTTGATTTTGTGAAATAAGACGCAAGGATCGACCACGGCACAGCATTTTTTTAAGGTGACGCCAACATCTCGCATGCTGCTTCAGTTCCAGGTGGCTAACCTTTCCATGCGCATCGATTCTTGTTTGACTCTGTAAACTCTTCATGACACGCAATTTCTCATTTGACAAAAGGAACTAAAATTATTCCACTCATAAGCCTGTAAAATAATCTTCCTTAAATAAATCTAAATTACAGAACACAGGAAGTCAAAAGAGCATGTCACACAGAAAGAGCGAGAAAACGCTGGCATATGCCAAAGCACCTCTTGACAGATAATAAGGTTTCTCTGTGTTAGGAGCCATTACAGGTCAGGACCCCCAGCAGCATGTCATGATGACTTCTAATTGCAATTTATGTAATAAGTAGGAAGGAGTTTTAGTAACATGGTCGAAAATGGAGAATAAATGATTAGGGGCTTGGCAGAAATGACAGTTTTCAGTTTCATCAGCAATTAACTCAACGCCCATTACATCCTCAGTGCTGATCTGACTGACAGGGAAAATATCTATATTTATAATTATGGAGAGTGGAGTGACTGCTCCATCAAGCCTTTTTGTGACATGGAGGTTTTGACTGATACGGTTGGTGTCAGGTGTGGCATCTTGGGGCAGTGGACGTTGTGCTTTGGTTTGGTTAAAGATGCATTTCACTCAATCCAACTCTAAATAAGAGTTCATTTCCAGTAAATGTATATTTTCCTTATAGAAAGAAAGAAAAAATGATCAATTAGTGCCTAAGAGGAAATCAAAACTCCAGAGTACTACAATATTTAGATATCATTAAAGCTGAAATAAAAATAAATGGAAACTAAATAGTAATAATATTATTTTATAGTGCTTTTCACAATACATAATGTCTCAAATTATTTTTACAGAAAATGCATATTTCTACAATACAATTAAAAGAAAACTTAAAGGGATAGTTCACCCAAAAATTAATATTCTGTTATTAATTACTCTCCCTCGTGTCGTTCCAAATCCGCAAACACGGAACACGAAGAGATTTTTGATGAAATTCGAAAGCTTTCTGACCCTGCATAGACAGCAATGTAACTACCACGTTCAAGGCCCAGAAAGGTAGTAAGGACATTGATAAAATAGTCCATGTGTCATCAGTGGTTCCACCGTAATTTTATGAAGCTACGAGAATACTTTTTGTGGGCAAAGAAAACCATGAAGTAGCACCACATGCATGCAAAATTGTTGAATAAAATCATTATTTTGGTTTTCTTGGAGAACAAAAAGTATTTTTGTAGCTTCGTAGCATTACTGTTGAACCACTGACTATTTTATCGATGTTCTTACTACGTTTCTGGGCCTTGAACGTGGTAGTTACATTGCTGTCAGGGTCAGAAAGCTCTTGGATTTCATCAAAAATATCTTCATTTGTGTTACGAAGATAAACGAAGGTCTTATGGGTTTGGATCAACATGAGGGTGAGTAATTAATGACAGAATTTTAATTTTTGGGTAAACTATCATTTTAAATATCAAAATATTAAAAAAGAAACTAAGAAAATGCGCATTACACAATTACTCAAATTTGACCAAAATTAAAACTGAAAATAAAAAAAATGAAAAGATCATTCAAAACATTTATAAAAGCTATATACTAAAATATTCCGTAACATAACTGTGCATTAACACACTTTACTTCTTTTCAACCAAACTCCGACCTTAGACTGAGCCAAGAATATAATTGCGCAACACATCAAAGTTCAAGGACCAAGTGAGAAAAAGATCCTAATATATTTTGAATAATTATACACTAAATGTAGAATGGTATTATATCGTGGATATCTTTCAATGGTATTATATCGTGATCCAAATACCACGATAATATTGTCGTATGGTTATATGCATTTATCATTTGGAAATTTTCAGGTCATGTCAGGTCATGCATAAACATAAACATCTGATTCGTTATACAGCTTTTTTTCATTATTCAATGCTCAGAATCAGCTCTTTATCGCTATAACATACAATGTAAAATCACCACTCATCAAATATAGGGTGCACACAGATCTGAAATAAACTCGTTATGGCAATCAAAGGGTTAAAGTGGATGCATCAAAGGAAAATAAGCATGTCTGATGTGAAACCATTGTTTTACAAGAGC